GGATACATCCTTTGTCAAATACATCATATATACTTTATCTGAAATTCTTATATATAATATTGTAAAATCTGGATATAAGGTCAAACCGAGAAAACTCTTTTTATATCCGGGTTTCTCCATATCCGGGTTACACAATATATATATATATATATATATATATAATAATTGAAGAACAAAATTTTCACCATTTTTTTATAGCTTTTAAAACAAAAAAATACACTGAAGACTATTTATTTTCTATAAAATATGTCTAGGTAGATGCCCAGTACTACCTTAGGTATAATAGTATTGCTTAGTAGTTGAGTTGCATTATACACAATCTATATAAAAAGAATCCGTTTTTCACATAACAATAAAATTACAGGTTAAAATATACACAAAGTAAATCTTATATATAATTAAATGCAGTAGTTATTTAATGTAATGATATTCATATAAATTACAGTTTATGTTTAAATATCTCATTGCATGGTTATGAACTATAAACCTAAATTGAGCTTGAAATATTTTGTAATCGGCTCTAATTTTTTGTAAAATACTTGGATATGATATAATGAATAATTTGCATTGAAAAAAGTAATTTTCCATTTTTTTGCTGAATACACCTTTTGTCTGCTAAATACATCATATATACTCTATCTGAAATCTTATAAAATTGAAGAACAGTTTTTTCCCCAAAAGTACAAAAATGCTCCAACAAAAATTGTATCTCTTCTTGAGAGGCATATTCTTTAACTATTTCTGAAAAACAATTTAACCCAAACTAATAAAAATCTATTTATTCATGATTTATCCAAAATAATTAGGATACCCAAATGTTTGTACATGTGCTTGGCAGCAAAAAGCTTAAAATAAAAATGATTAAAAAAAGAAAAAAAATTTTAAAGACTATTAAAAAAAAATTGTACTGATGTCAATGAGATTTCAAGCAAACAAAGATTTATTAGAGCTTAACAGGATAAGAAATCAGGGATTAATTTTACACTCTATTACTATTATGAACAGAACCCCGACTTCTAAATCAATAAAGAATAAATATTTTTTTAATTCTGATATGTGTCATTGCCTAAAGAAGGTTTCATCAAGGTTAATCTAAAAAAAAAATTATTTCCCTATTTTTTGATGAGTGGACCAGTATATTTAACTAGTGCCTATGTATGTATAAATGAATATTATTATTATTATTTTTTTTATCTGAGGAAATGCTGAAACATTCTCAGCCTGACCATTCACAAAATCAGACCAAGCAGCAGATACATTTTTTTTTTTTTTAATCTCTTCTTGGTTAGGCCAAGAACTTTTCAACACCCCACCCAGCCACAAATATTCTTCACCAAATTATATGAGTATGTTATTACAGTCATAAATACAGTATATCCCACTTAGAAACATAGTAAACTTTCTTATTTCTTTGTCTCTATTACTAAGATGAGATATTGTAACTATTTATATTGTCCGGATTGTTGCCCACATCTTTATTACCATATTCACGACACTTCGGCCATTACACGTTCCAGATTTCTTCAGGAGCTATCTATATTTCTGAAATGAGATATTGTAACTATTTACATTGTTCGGACTGTTGTCCGCATCTTTATTACCATATTCATAATGCTTCAGCCGTTACACTTTCCAGACTTCTTCAGGATCTATCTATATTTGTGAGATGAGATATTGTAACTATTTACATTGTTCGGACTGTTGTCTACATCTTTATTACCATATTCACGATGCTTCAGCTGTTACACGCTCCATACTTCTTCAGGATCTATCTATATTTGTGAGATGAGATATTGTAGCTATTTACATTATTTACATTTTTCGGACTGTTGTACTCATTATTATTGCCATATTCATGATGTTTCGGCCTTTGCATGCACTGGTTTTCTTCAGGATCTGTCTATATTTCTGAGATGTCATATTGATGACATTTCGGCCATTGTACACTCCTGCCTTCTTCAAAGACACATGGCCCAGTGGATAAAAAACATTGGTTGATGTAATCCAATGACTTGACCCAAAGAGTTGTGAGTTCAATATCTAGCCACAGCAGTGGCAAACAAAAACTTGGAGAGTTGAGTTAAAGGGAGATAACAGAGACATCCGGAAGAGGCATGGCGTATGGAACTGGAACAATCTGATGGACGAAATAAAGGGTTTGGTTTGAAATTACAATCACCTGAAGAAGGCCGGAGCATACAATTGTTGTTGTCATCTTTGTTGCTACAACATTGTGAATGTGACAAGAAAGATGACGACCCGTCCTGGGTATGACAATAAACTACATCTGTGTCCAGGGTAAGATGATAAACTATGTCCAACAGCAAGGCCTCTGATCAGGAGGTTTTGAGGAGCGTGGAATCACCTCTTAATTGTTGGTGTTCCCAGGTCCACCCTGACCCGGGGTGGTAGAACCTGTTAGGGTCCCAGCTATGGGCAAATAGTTAACCCCAAACTTGTGTAAAAATAGGTTTTAATACCAGAAATACTTTGTAAAAAATTATTTCCAGAAATAAATTTTTGAAAAAAAAAATAATATTACCAGCTATACATTTTTGAAAAAATAATATTACCAGCTATATATTTTTGAGGAAAAAATATTAACAGAAATAGATTTTTGACAAAACAAAAACATTACCAGGAAAAAAAAAGTTGTCAGCATTAAATGACCCATTGAGGTTAACATGCTGTAAAACAAAACAAACCAAACTAAAGATGATGACAACGGCCTGAACAATGTAAATCATGTAAATCTTTTATTTCTCTCTGATATGTCCTGGAAAGGGATATATTTGATCAAAGTAGCTAAGTGATTTGGTTACTGTAACCAAGTAATACACAGTAGCAGTAATCAACCAGTACTCGTCATAGTCACAGGTAATAGATGTAGACCAATAGGATAGCTAATGGTGTAGTCCAATGGGCGTTATCATAGACTTAAACTCTGTCATACCTACACGTCCGTCTGTATTTATGACGGACACCAGCTAATCATATTCCAGTGAGGGGGAACACAGGTGTAAGCATATTCCATTATATCACTCTTCTTAAAATATTTTATTTACATTTTACTTAAATGTAAAAGCAATTAATCAACTGGCTTGATTAAATTTAATCATTAATTTCTATTTTTCCTTTTCAGGGTGGTCGTTACTTGATGGTCCGATGTCCATCTCAAAAAGAATATGAGCAGTGGCTAACTGCTTTGGAAAGTCAAGTAACTGACAACACACGGGCGACTTATGTCAGGCCATCAGTAAATGCTCTCAAGCATCCAATCAAGGTAAGTAACCACATTAGAGGTTGGTGGTCAGTCTAGTATGTCTGTAGTGATGACCAAAACAAGAAAATTTCATCATTGCTAAAAAGAAGCAACAAAATAGCCAAGCTCTGTAGTCATATTTCCGCAAGCCAATCAAAAACAAGGATACAATGTCTCAGTCTCGCTAGCCAATCAGGAGCCAAGTAATAGTTTCCAAATGGATCTTCTTTGTTCAACAAGATAACTAAATAAAGAGCTTGATAGTCCAATTTCATTTATCAGTTTTCCAGTGGTATCTGTCATCATAAAATGCCACTGCACCCCAGCAAGATAAGTAACCACATTATAGCTTTTGTTGTCAGTCTACTATGTCTGTAATGAAGACCAAAGCAAGAAAACTTCATCATTGCTAAAAAGAGGCAAAAATTTGGGATACATTGAACAAAGAAAACCACTAGGCTATGCATTCATATTTCCACAAGCCAGTCAGTGACTAGGTCTGTTTCCAAGAAAGGTACAATGTCTCAATCTCACGAGCAAATCAGAAGCCAATAATGATTTTCTCAGGTACAAGTTCTATTATTTAACCCATTGCTGGGGTACTTTATTTTAGTAAATAAAATTAAATTTGTTAATTGCACTGCTACAATGAACATTTGAACTCTTACATAAATGTCACCGATGTTATTGTTAGAGTTACTATTAGAAATTATCAAAGATTAGGTTTTATTTTGTGTAAATCAGACTAAATTGATTAACACATTCACTGCTACTTTCAGTGTTCAAAATTGATATAGAAGACTATGCTTTGTTTTAATATATAAAATTTATTGGATAAAACTATTAAATTATATTTTGCGTCCTTGGCACCACCTTTTGTTTTTGTTTTCCACCCAATTTTTTAAATGAAGCATTGGTGCATCATGCTTCTTTTGTGTGAAAAACACAAAACAAAAAAAAAACAGCTTTAAAAATTAATTCAGAAAATGTCACCATGACTAGCTGCGTTGTTATCACTATTTAGGTTACCTAAAATAAAACCATGGAATGAATGCACATCTGTGTCAGCAGAAGCAGCACACAACATGCGACAAGATGTATTCCTACATTCTGTGTCAGTACACCTGTTAAATGTGAAAGGAATGGGAAAAAAAAAAAATTGCCAAAAAATATAACACACCAGATTTCCACCATGATATGATTTAGAAAAATTGGACAATTATGCAATTAGGTAAAAAAATAAAAATAAAAATTTCTTCCCAAGTATTTTTCTCTGGGCCACATTTTCACAATGAAAATTTGCTTGCACCTCATCAAATTTTATGTGATAAAAAGTACATTTAAAAATAGAAAAAAAAAGAGGGTTAAAGGGAGATAATTGTGGATTCAAACTCAGAACATAATCATTGATAACTCTCTCCTCCAATTTGCAGACTCTAGTTACTTAAAACTTGATATAATGCAAAAATATCACAATGATAAAATCAGTCAATAATTATTTAAAACTACTTATACTGGGACTCATGCATGCAATTACAAGTAATCCATAATAATATTTAAAATTTTGAAATCTTTTATCTTTGGTATCTGTCTATATTTCTGAGATGAGGTATTATGTACACTATTTACTTTGCTCAGACTACCATCCTGAAAAAGACCGGAGCATACAATAGCTGAAACGGTGTCTCCAATTAACAACTCCAAGCCATTATCCATTACACCACCTGCACATCTAAGGTTACAGTACCTGGTATTCCCAAATGGTCATTCATCCAGGTACTGACCAGGCTTGACATTGCTTAACTTTGATGGTCATATGGAAACCAGTGTTTCAATGTGATATAGCTGTAAACCTAAGATACATGGGATTATTAGGTGTTAGTGAATATGAGAAAAAAAATTATTAAAGAACGAGAACAATAAAAGAACAGGAATTAAAAAGACAGAAGATAACAAGTGACATTGCATCACAATGTTGACCAAGATGCAAGATGCTGGAAGAGAGGTGTCCTGGGTAAGATGATAAACTACATCTGACAGCAAGGCCTCTGATCAGGAGGTTTTGAGGAGCATAGAACTACCTGTGTTCCCAGGGTGGTAGCACTTGTCAGGGTCCCAGCTATGAGCAAAAAAAATATTTCCTCCTCAAAATTTGCTCAAAACACTATGAAAGTATAAAAATAGGTTTTAATATCAACAATACTTTTTTGGAAAAATTATTACCAGCAGAACATTTTTGAAAAAGAAAAAATATTACCAGTAATACGTTTTTGAAAAAAAAATATTACCAGCAGTATATTTTTTGAAAAAAAAAATATTACCAGCTATAAAAATCTTGTCAGCATTAAATAACTCATTGAGATTGATATGCCATAAAATAAAACAAACCAAGACCCAACCAAACCAGAAGAGAGTTCCACTAGTGAGAAGTGTGATTAAAAAAAAATTAACATAGAACTTAAGGTTACATCTATCAATTTCAATTGTAAAAGGATGAGACCTAGCTGCCAATCTAGTACTACGCTTCCCTTCATAAAGTCTAGGTACCAAAGAGGAAAGTTCATCAGAACAATTACCATGAAAGTATTTATAGAAGCTACAATATGGTGGTGGGAAAGTGACTGAAGTGGTTCCCAAACAGTGTACCTCATAGGTATGGCAGAAGAGGTTAGCAGGTGAGGCGGAAGAGGTTAGCAGGTGAGGCGGAAGAAGATAGCAGGTGAGGCAAAAGGGGTTAGCAGGTGCAGCGGAAGAGGTTAGCAGGTGCAGCGGAAGAGGATAGCAGGTGAGGTGGAAGAGGTTAGCAGGTGAGACAGAAGAAGATAGCAGGTGAGGCAGAAGAGGTTAACAGGTGCAGCGGAAGTGGTTAGCAGGTGAGGCAAAAGAGGTTAGCAGGTGAGATGGACATGATTGAAAGACAAAGATTTAGAAACAGTTTCAAAGGTTTTACTTTTAAATGTACTTTTTATCACATAAAATTTGGTGAGGTGCAATCAAATTTTCATTCTAAAAATGCGTCCCAGAGAAAAAAAAATTGGGGTACCACTACCTTAACCTCTTTCAGGCAGTGACCCAAAACTTTTAACCTTTTCTGAACAGTGACCAAAAATCTTAAAGTCTGTGTTTTAATTTGGTCATTGTCAACAACTGTAAACCTGAAAGAATATTCTTGGTGTTCCAGATCAAAACTTTGTCTTCTGGACTTAGAAAACCATTTACAAAGAATATGCTCATCTATGGTAGCGTCCCTATAAATGGCACATATCTTTGCTATTTGAACAGAATCAAATGACAAAAATGCATTTTATTTACACTTCTAAAGTAAAAACATTTAAAATTCACAATCCACATATAAATCATAGAAAGACACATTGATATATCACCTTTCTAAATATGTCATCGATTTCAGTTGCATGTCAAACAGAATCATGTTTAAATGACACTGATTGAAAAAAACAGCAAATGTCTGTTCCAACCCAATATTTGAGCCTTTATTTTCCATTTTTATTTGCCATATTTATTTGAATTTTTATTTGCCTTATCTATTTGAAATTTGAGTTTTTAGTCGCCTTATTTATTTTAATTTTAAACTTTTTTTTGCCTTATCTATTTGAATTTTTATTTGCCTTATCTATTCAAATTTTGAATTTTTATTTGCCTTACCAATTTGAATTTTAAATTTTTATTTGCCTTATCTATTTGAACTTTTGAGTTTTTATTTTCCTTAATTATTTAAATTTTTATTTACCTTATCTATTTGAATTTTAAATTTTTATTTGCGTCATGTATTTGAATTTCTATTTGCCATATGTCTTTTATTTTACAGAAAGTTGTATTGATTGAATTTGGAAGTATGTCAATCCGAGCTGGAATCTTGAAAGAAAATGGTAAGTGTTGACTCATTTTCAATGATATTCAGTTTCTTGGCTTTAACCCTATCTCAGAGAAGTAGGTGGTGGACGGGGGGGGGTCTTTTTTGCCCATGCACGACTTTCAATTGATTCTGTCCCCTTTAGGGGTTTAGGCATTAATTTGAAACCCCAGATTTGTTACTAAAAACAGACTGTCAATAAAAAAAAATATTGTTTAGTTATTCTAAAGTTAGGTACCTCCACAAAATCGCTAAAAAATTAGCATACCATGATGAAAATATGCTCCAAACATAATGAAAACATAGTTTTATCATCAAAATCTTTGATCCTTCATCTTAATAATAACAAAGTATTTTTTGAATATTTAATTAATTTTTTTTTTTACTCTTTTTTAGAACATTCAAAGTTTTGATTAAAAAACTTGCTCTTCTTGCATCAGTGAATATACTAACTTTTAGCATAGAAAATTTTAGCCTCTTGTGGTGACAGACACATTAATTTGTAATTTCTTGCAAAAATCAAATAATTGTTGGATTTTAATAAGCTTTTCAGAAATTATTCACAAATTAATTATTTTGGAATTTTTTTTATTAGAAAATTTTGGTAAAAATATTTTTTTAAATGTTTCATCCCCTTACTTAATTTCATGAAAAACTTGAAAAATTCAATGAAATAATTTTTAGTGACTATATGAGTTAAAATCAGATTTTTATTTTGCAACATTGGACACTGTCTTACTGAAAATCTGTTTTGAATTGAAAAATAAAAAACACAATAAAACTAAGACGTTATTCAATTACAGTAGCTTTTACTTGGTTTTATGAATAATAATATCTGTTAAAGACATATGTCTGAAGAAAAACATTTTTTTGATAAAAAACAAATTTTTACAAGATTTGTTTTCATTTTTTACAATTTCAAATTGAATAATTTATAAAATTTTTAAATATTTTAAAATTTAGTTTCAATGTAATAACTCTTAGTAAATATTGTTAAGTAAAATTGTATTTACTAATCATATATTGTAAAGCTTATCAAAATCTGACCCCACCCCCAACCTCAAATAATTTTAAAAGAATTTCAATTTGCTTTTGTATCTGGTGTATATATATATGCAGAATTTTAAAATTATGGATGTACAAACCTAACCTTATTATTAAAAGTTCACATGTTTTAAGAGTTATCCCCTACAGTAAGGGAAAAAAAAACACCTCATATAAAATTTATTGTCTGCTCCACAATACTTTGAACATGCTTGGCAGTCAATTAGCTGTCAATAAATCAATTAACATGTCAGAAAAGCAAGACCCTGTGGTTAAGAAATGCTTGTATACAACATCTTATGCTATAAGTATGTAATATTTGTTTCAAATTAGATTAATTTAGCTTTAAATTTGCTAATTTTTCTCAAATACTGTTTTAGAAATATATATTTTATTTTTGCGAGATTTTTAAAACCGAAAATTATCTTTTTTTTGCAAATGTGTCAAAATAGCCGTTTTCATTGATTTTACAAAAAAAAATTGATTCTGATTAATATAATTTCTAATTTGAAATACAGCACAGCACATTTTGCTTACTGGAAATAATAAATTTTAAATCCTTTAGCTTTCAATGAAATCTTCAAGAAAGCTTTTTCATTTTTAAAAATTCATTTTAAACCTTACATATACGAATTAGTGGAGGTACCTATTCTAAAGGTCATTGGGAATATAGTGAATACTCCTTTTGTTTCATAATTGCTCCAGGCTATTGGCTGGGGCTGAAGAATACACTGACTGCACATTTGAGAAGGGTAAGACCCCTGTTAAAAAACGTTTTCAAAAATGGAAACATCTTAATTGAAGCTGACAAGAAAAAGACACGCTAAATTTTTACTGAAAATGAAGACCAAAGAAATCATTGTATAAATACATCAAATTTTAAACGTGGCTAAAGGAGTACTAATAAACGAGGAGCTCTCTCCTAGAAGAAATAAAGAAGGAATTAAAATCACAAGGAGTGACAGATGGGAAATGGATTACAATTAAAAAATGGAGAAAAAATCTAAACAAATAAATATTTACCATATTTTCCAGCTTACAAGATGCTGTGGCTTGGAAGTTGCACCCTAATATAGGAAAGAAATTTCTAAGAAAAAAAATAATGTCATTCTCATACAATAACACATTCACCATGTGTCCCTCACCTGCTGGAGCCACATATTAGTTAGATTAATCACTTGCCTGATTTTGTTTGTATGGCAATGAAATACTAGTCAAGAGCAGAATGGCTCCTGCTACTGCTAGTAAAACAGAGTATGTTTAAGCTTTTGGCTTGGCTCCAGGAAGGTTTATAATCTTGGAAATACTTCTAACAGCTAAGTACTGAGATTACTTTATATAAAAGAGATTAGATAGCTAACATTATAGTGTAAGGACTCAACATATAAATCCATGTCCCCATCAGTCAAGCCAATTAGGTGACCGTCCAAGCTTACTTGAGCCTGGACGTTGCCTTACATTCATCTTGGAAGATACACATTTTTCAGGGTATTTTTTTTTGCAAAATTGTATCTAAATATAATATATATATATATATATATATATATATATATATATATATATATATATATACATTTTCCAACTTACAAGATGCTGCATCTTGGAAGACACACTCTAATATTGAAAAGAAATTTCTAAGAAAAAAATGTCATTCTCATACAACAACACATTCACTATGCGTCCCTCACATGCTGGCACCATGTATTGTTAACATTAATCACTCGTCCGATTTTCTTTGTATGGCAATGACATACTAGTCAAGAGCAGAAAGGCTCCTGCTGCTGCTAGTAAACAGAACATGTTTAAGCTTGTGGCTTGGCTCCAGGAAGGTTTATAGTCTTGGAAATACTTGTAACAGCTAAGTACTAAGGTTATATCATATAAAAGGCTGAATTAGATAGCTAACATTATAGTGTAATGACTCAACATACAAATTCACATCAAGTCAAGTGTCCTGGGTATGACAATAAACTACATCCAACAGCAAGGCCTCTGATAATACGTTTTTTGAAAAAATAATGTTGCCAGCTGTACATTTTTGAAAAAATAATATTACCTGCTATATGTATTTTGAAAGAATAGTGTTGCCGGATATACGTTTTTGGAAAATAGTATTACCAGCTATACGTTTTTGAAAAAATAATGTTGCCAGCTGTGTGTTTTTGAAAAATAATATTACCAGCCATACATTTTCAAAAAAATAATATTACCAGCCTAACATTTTCAAAAAAATAATATTACCAGCCATACATTTTTGAAAAAAATAATATTTACCAGCCATACATTTTTGAAAAAAAATATAATATTACCAGCTATACATTTTTGAAAAAAATAATATTACCAGCTATACATTTTTGAAAAAATAATATTACCAGCTATACATTTTTTGAAAAAATATTAATAATATTTTTGAAAAAATAATAATATTACCAGCTATACATTTTTGAAAAAATAATATTACCAGCCATACATTTTTGAAAAAATATTATTACCAGCTATACAGTTTTTCCACCCTACAATCTTTTACCATTCAGACAAAAACTTGCAAGCCACTCTCTATTCTATTGCTATTTCCATAGCAAATGTTAAGACAAGCTACATTCCTTAATTTCACCAGTTCAGTCATTCACAGCTAGGACCCACCATGCCACATCCACAGTGTTAAATCCTCTTCATTGCCACCGTATTGCATTGGTAACAGGGAAGTTCTACTCAGGCAGAGAGTGACACTCTCTTAAAACTGACCAATGGATGTGATAAGGTAATTTGATTTATGGTCCCCACTTATCCTCAGAGATGCCAAGCCTTTTTCCTTAGATAGGATTTTGTCTTTCTTTCTGTAATCTGAAGAAGCCAGAGAGAGAGAAGATGCTCTTGGCAAAACGCATTGCTTATAGATTTTCCAATTTGTCTCCTCTTCTTCACATACTTTAGAACACAAACTTGATCCTCAAATCTAACAGAGTCAAATGGACGGACGACAAGAGATCCATAATCTTCAAAACTAAAATCAAATACATGCATTTTTTTTATCTGTCTATATTTCTGAGACAAGGTATTATGTACACTATTTACATTATTCGGACTATTGTCTTCATCTTTGTCGCCATATTTATTACAACATTTCGGCCATTGTATGCTCTGACCTTCTTCAGGTGGTTGGAAATGAACTCTTTATTTCACTCACTAGGGTAGACTGTTCTAATTCCACGTGCCATATTTAATCCTCAAGGATACATGGCACAGTAGTAAAGGCATTAGTTAGATCCAGTCACAGGACCCAAAGAGTGTGAGATCAATACCCGTTTAAGGCAGTGGAGAACTTGGAGAGGGGAATTAACAGGAGATAACTGACATCCATTAGACATGGCACATGGAACTAGAACAGTCTACCCCAGTGAGCAAAATAAAGGGTTCAGTTCAACATTCCAACCACCTGATGATGGTTGGAGCGTACAACGGCCAAAATGTTGTAATAAATATGGCAACAAAGATGAGGACAATAGTCCAAATAATGTAAATAGTATGCATTTTTTAACCTCTGTAAAATGTATAATGACCATCAGTTAAACCTAGATAACAACCAAATAGCCATAGTCAAACAGTATCAAGTATTTGAGAAGGAAAAGCAATATTGCAATAAAAGCAATCCAGGTAATCAGAATAGTACCACATACAGACTGGGGTAGGAGACAAAAAAAATCATTAAGATTCTATCGATTCAAATTTGACTAAAAAATGATTGTTGTGAAAATAATCTTGTTGATTTATTCTAAAGGTAATCGTGAATATCATGAATATTTTTTTTTTGTTTCATACTTGCTGAGGTCAGCATATTTTTACTGGCATGAGGATTGTTTCAATTTTAGAAAATTACATATAGTCTGACATTAAACTTCCAATTTGATGATACCTCGGTTCCAGAGCCGATGAAGGTTTAAAATAAAAGAGAAAAAGAATAAAGCTGAAAAATTTAAAACAATTTAAACCATTATTTGGAACTCTCTGGCATTTAGTGGGTAAAAATAGCACACCCACTAAATTTCACAGCTGCAAAATAACCTCCTTAGAATAAGGTTGAGTATTTCCATCTTTGATAGGTTGTTTATAAAAAAAATAATTCATAGATTAATTTTAAGTGTGAATGACGTGTTTTTGCGGCTTACCAACCCTATGCATATTATTTAAAGCCAGAAAATATTTTAAATTATAAGATTTTTTTTTTAGATAATAATTATATTTATCTTTCGATACATAACTGACGAGGTAGATTTTTTCCCGCAATAGGTTGCCATTTCTATCTGCGATAGACCAGTTACCATCCAAGGCTATAGAACTTGTTCTATCCTGCTATTTAAAAGGAGAAGAGGATTCATACTTTTCCCAAGGGGTATTAACACGCAAGTGAATGTAATGAACCCGACTGGAATCCAACCTCGACTCTCCGATTCCTCCATCCGAGCCGCTATTCGTTAGTTCACCGTACCTCCTCTAAGATTCTGTCAATTCAAATTTGACTAAAAAATGATTGTTGTGAAAATAATCTTGTTGATTTATTCTAAAGGTAATCATGAGTATCATAAATATTTTTTTTTGTTTCATACTTGCTGAAGTCAGCATATTTTTACTGGCATGAGGATCGTTTCAATTTTAGAAAATTACATAAAATCTGAGATTAGACTTCCAATTTCATGATACACCAGTTCCAGAGCCAATGAAGGTTTAAAATAAAAGAGAAAAAGAAAAAGAATAAAGCTGAAAAGTTTAAAACAATTTAAACCATTATTTGGAACTCTCTGGCATTATGTGGGCCACTAACTTTCACAACTGCAAAATAAACTGTCCAGGATATTTCTCTCTTCAACAAATCATTTATAAAAAAATAATCCTGAGAGTGAATAAAGTTGGTCCAGAATGATGCAGATACAAATTGAAAAAGGAATTTTCAACAATATACACATTTTGTACATATTTGTGGTTATTTTTTTTAACTTTTATCAAAAACAACATCCTTGTAAATGTAGTTATGGATAATATTATACATTAATTACTAATCTTTTTAATTAATAACTATTTGTGCTCAGTTGTTGACATTAATAGCTATCTGCTGATGTGTTAAAATTTTGGAATAATACAATAATAAAAATTTAAATTTCATCTCTATTGTGGCGATCTATAAATTTAAGAGTAAATGATGTCTGTCCAGAAAGATAATGTATAGATTGATTTGTATTTTTTATTTATAGATTTGATGTTTTCAGGTTTTATTAAAATTCTAATCACTTTTTTAACCATAAATATTGTCGAGGAGTGATGGGAGTTAAAATAATAGTGGTGTCAAGGGAAAAACCATCCTTCTTTTTTTTCAGCTAAAAACATCACTGTGAACGTGTTCTGGAGCATCAAACTGATGTATTTCATGAATTGTTCATATGTACTTTTTAAAATGTTTGTTTGTATGGGTTTCTGTTTTGTTCTTTGATGTATCATCAATTTGTGTTTTATGTATCATCAATTTGTGTTTTCCAGCCACCCTGCCTCAACTCTTCTTTCCCAACACTGTTGCCGTCAGCAGCGAAAACAACATGGTAAAACATGTGATTGGTTTTGATGCCTATAAGCCTGAAGTTCGACACTCCTCTCAATTAGTTCAGCCTTTTGGCCCAACAGACAAAGTTGACAAGGTGAGTCTGAAAAAGCGTATATGGTAACAGTATGGTATAGAATTGGTCAGTCTTGAGAGACCATGCCAAACAGGCCATCCTGGGTAAGACAATAAACTACATCCATGTCTTAAATGCTGGTGTTTTCAGGTCTAGCCTGACGCGAGTGGTAGCTGTTAATCTGAGTTAAGACTGTTGAGTTGTCTCCTCTTGTCTATATATAAAAGGAAGTCTGTTTGGAGTGATCTTCTCTTTGTTTGTTGTTGTTGTAGTTTCCTTTGACAAGATGGCAGTTTAGCTGAGACTGGGTGTCTGTGGAAGGAGTAAATCATCAATGGTAGCTTCCTAAGAAGCTGTCTTGTTCAGCAAACGCTGAAACACATTTAAAAAAAAATGGCTTCCTTCACAAAACACCCACCTGTTTTGGTAAATGAAGAGGCATATGCTGAATGGAAGCAAGATATAGGCATATGGTCTATATTCACAGACTTACCTAAGGAGAAACAAGGCCCTGCTGTGTTTTTGTCATTACCACAAAATATAAGAGAATGTGTTCGACACTTGGCAATAACAGATATTGGTGGAGCAAATGGATTAAATATAATTATTGACACATTGGACAAAATTTACTTGCTGGACGAAAATACGATGGCATACATGTCATTTAAGGATTTATTTAATTATTTAATTTAATTTTATTCCTACAAAAGGGCAGCCAGAGTTAATGTAAATGAATTTTTGGTACGATATGAATTTCTGTATCAAAAATTACAGAAATTTGGAATTACTCTACCAGAAGGAGTCCAGGCCTTTTTTGTTCTGAATGCAGCAAATGTATCAGAGAAAAATGAAAAATTAGCAAGAACCACATGTTCCAGCTTAACATATGCAATAATGAAAGATACACTGAAGAAAGTATTTTCTGATATTTTATCAACAGAATGTAAAACTATCCCTGCTATCAAAGAAGAAGTTGAAACAGTAAATTTCAATAGATACAGAAGTATTAAGGAACAAAGGCATGACAAGATATATAAAGTAAATCCTAAGGACAGACAAGGTAAGATAATGCATTGTTTTAAATGTAATTCAACTAAGCATTTTGCCCGAGATTGTACAAGTTTCAATTCTAGAAATAATATCAACACTATGGTGGATACAGACCAGGTGAACTTTACTTTGTTTAATGTTGATTCATGTTATCGAACATTAATAAATGACTCTTATTCCAATGTGAAAAATGTCCAAACTTGTGAAAGAGACATTGGGTATGGCAGTGTTGGACTCTGCTTGCTCACGAACTGTTGCTGGAGAAATTTGGTTTTATGTATTCTTTGATACATTAAATGACCAAGATAAGCAGTTGGTGGAAACTGTTAAATCTAACAGAATATTTTGTTTTGGAGATGGAGTGGAGGTAAGAGCTATTAAAACAGTTAAGTTTCCTGTAACAATAGGGGGTATAAGAGGTATCAGAGGTTATATTGAGGCTGACATTGTCAAAAATGATATACCCGTTATAAAGTCATAAATCAATGAAAACTGCAAGAATACTACTAAATTTTAAAAACGACAGCTGTCGCATTTTTGGTAGACATATTAAATTGCAAACAACAACTTCTGGACATTATAGTCTGCCACTAACTAATATTGGAGGTTAAAAATGCACCAAGCATAGTCTTACATTGTGAGACTTTCAAAGGATGTTCTCGAGTGGAAAAAAAGAGAAAGGCTGAGAAATTACATAGACAGTTTGCTCATGCATCTAAAGAAAAATTAATAGCTTTGATTAAAGGTAGTAAGGCATTTCATGACAAGGAATTTCTGAATCAGACAAAAGATGTTTGTGATTCTTGTTCAGTTTGCTAAAGACCCCCTCCTCGACCAGTTGTAGGATTGGCTCTTGGTAACAGGTTTAATGACACTGTATGTTTGGATTTAAAGGAATATCAACATAACCAATGCTGGATTCTACACCTAATTGATACATCCACTAGATACTCTGCTGCCAAATTAATTAAGACCAAGAAAAGTGAAGAAATTATTTGCAACATATTTTTAATGTGGATATCTTATTTTGGAGCTCCCAAACAGTTTTTAAGTGATAATGGAGGAGAATTTAATAATGAGGGCTACCGACAGATGAACGAAAAATTGAATATTGAAACATGCACGACAGCTGCAGAAAGTCTATTTAGCAATGGTACTGTGGAACGTCATAATCTAATAATTGCTGAAGCAATGGAAAAAACATTAGATGATGAAAAATGTGAGCCAGAAATAGCTTTGGCTTGGGCTGTTAGTGCCAAAAATGCACTTCAAAATCATTCTGGATATAGTCTAAATGAGCTTGTATTTGGGTCAAATATTAACACCCCATCAGTTTCGAATGATTGGTTACCTGCATTGGAAACTGCAACAATCAGTGATATGGTTAGAATAAATTTAAATGCCCTACATACAGCGAGGAAAAGCTTCATGGAAGCCGAATCAAGTGAAAGAATTCGGAGAGCCTTGAGATATAATGTAAGGACTTACGCGGATGAAGTATTTGTGACAGATGACCATGTCTACTATAGAAGACAAAACTACAATGGATGGCATGGTCCTGCTAAAGTTCTGGGGAAAGAAGGTCAATGTGTATTGATCAGACATGGAGGAGCATTTTTCAGGATGCATCCATGTCACTTGATGAAGGTAGACAAGGAATTGCAAAATCCAAGGAATGAAGAAAATACAAATTCTTCAAATGAGATGAATGAAGTGTTGGAGGAGGAAGATGAAGGACAATATAATAACAATTCTAATAGCAATAGAAAGGAAGTGAAAGATAACAGTATAAAAAACCAAGTAGAAACGAAATTGTAGAATATAAATTGAGAGGGAGTGATGAATGGAAGAAAGGAATGGTTATGAGCACACAAACCAAAGTCAACAAAAAATATAGCCATTGGCTAAATATAAAACCAGAAGCAGAGAATGAAGATCCTCTTTGTGTCAATTGGGATCATGTTGATCAATGGAGGAAACTTTCTCATGTAACAGAGGGAATAAGTAATCAGGAACATGCAGTTTTGCTTACTTCTGAACAAGGACAAGATGTGATTGATGCAAAGAAAAAGCAATTGGAAAATATGAAAGTTCATGAAGTATATGAATGTGTGCCTGACATGGGGCAAAAATGTATATCAACAAGATGGGTGATAACAGAAAAATTTATGAATGACAAAAAGATAATGAAGGCTCGTCTTGTTGCACGTGGTTATGAAGAAGATTCTCATAACTTAAAAACAGATTCTCCAACATGCAGCCGTGAGGCCATGCGTCTCGTATTGTTAACAGCCTCGGTTATGATGTGGCAGGTGGAGACTCTTGATTTTACCTCAGCATTTCTGCAAGGTAACATGTTGGAAAGAGAAGTATTCCTTAGACCACCATCTGATGTGTGTCCAGAATCACAGGTGTGGAAGCTGAAAAGATGCACTTATGGTTTAAATGATGCACCTCGTTCATGGTACAAGCGAATTAATCATGAGTTAACTCGTTTGAAGGGAATGGTGAGTGCATACGACAATGCACCGTTTCTTTGGCACAATGACACTGGTGACTTGATAGGCATTCTGGCAATACATGTAGATGATTTCATATTCTGTGGAAATGATCTATTTCAGAAAAATATGATCGGAGAATTGAAAAAGATATTTAAAATTGGAAAGCATGAAAGTGGAACATTTAAATTTTTGGGATTGAATGTTAAGCAAACAAAAAATGGGATTATAATAGATCAAAATCTATATGCTTCAGCTATATCCCCAATAGACATAAAGAAAGGAAGATCATTAAGGAAAAATGATGAATTGAGTCAAGATGAGAAGATGGAGCTAAAGAGATTGACAGGCCAAATGATGTGGATATCCACCCAGACTCGACCAGATGTATCATTTGATGTGTGTAGAATGAGAATGTAGAATATTGGAAAATCTCCAAAGGTGAAGTTGCTCTTCAAGGCAAACAATTCACTAATAAAGTTAAAATCAAGGACAGGTTCCATATCTTTTCCCCAGCTTGGGAAACCTTCAGATCTGAATATTGTTTGTTATTCAGATGCCACCTATGCAAGTTTGGAGGATGGATCTTCACAAGGTGGTTTTAGCATCTTTGTTTGTGGCAAGATGAACAGAATGGCTCCTATATGCTGGTCATCAAAAAACTTGACCGTGTAACAAAAAGTCCATTAGCCTCCGAAACTCTTGTGCTTGAAGCAGCTGGTGCTGGTATATTGGCAGCCGCCATGCTTCAGGAGATATTCAGACTACCTAAATTGCCTGAAGTTCTTTGTAAAACAGACAATGCATCTCTGGTAGAGACTTTAATTTTATCAAATCTTGTGAGTGACCGGCGTCTGAGAGTTGATGTGGCCAGATTGAAAGAAATGATGGTGAAGAAGGAAATTCAAACTGAATGAATCAGGGGCCGAGAACAGGTTGCAGATTGTCTGACAAAGATGGGAGCCTCTTCTAAAATTCTGAGAGACTTGTTGCAATGAAGATTTGTATTGCTTTTGTTGTTTTTGTTTTGTTTTTTTGTTTTTTGAGAACTCTAGTTTTCACAAGAAGACACCAGCAATGTTAATCTGAGTTAAGACTGTTGAGTTGTCTCCTCTTGTCTATAGATAAAAGGAAGTCTGTCTGGAGTGATCTCCTCTTTGTTTGTTGTTGTTGTAGTTTCCTTGGACAAGATGGCTGTTTAGCTGAGACTGGGTGTCTGTGAAAGGAGTAAATCAACAGTAGCACCTGTTAGGGCCCCAGCTCTAGACAAGTAGTTAACCCCCAAACTGGGGTTAAAACATTATGAAAGTGTAAAAATAGGTTTTAATACCAGCAATACTTTTTTTAAGGAAAATTATTACCAGCAATACATTATTACCAGCAATACATTTTTGGAAAATTTTACCAGCAATAAAAATCTTGTTGGCATTAAATTACCCATTGAGGTTGATTTTTTTTTTTTTTAAGCGTTTC